ATTCAAGGGACACTAGGAGATATTTTTTAATTTCTGAGAAAAAAGAATGGCATCTTTGAACACCCACAACGACTACTGTTAGTTTTTTTGGACTTAACTGCTTTTAAACTAGAATCGTTAAGCATTTGTTCTGGTTTGGGGATGCTGAAAACGTTACTGAGATGCTGAGGGCACCATGAACCCAGGGACTAGGAGGAGCTGTCTCAGCACTCCCTGTGTTCTGTGATCTTGGACTTTGAGCTACCATGGAAATTAGAGCACCGATTTCCTCTTAGATTGCTGAACCTGAACCCAGCACATGTAGAGTGAAAATTCAACCTACAGCAACAAGGATCTTAACATGCTTTCCCAGTCATCATGCTGTTTTCCGAGCAGGCCAGCCTCATTAGAGAAAAAGCAAGAAGAAATTAATTGGTTCTTCTGACAGCCTATCTGCTTATTTTCTGTCAACAAAGGGTCAGAGGTCAGAAATCACTGCTTAGCATTTGCCTGTGCACGTCTTTATCCAAACATCCCCTCCCATTGCTCCCACCATGCTCCTCGCACGTCTTCCCCTCTCATCGTTTCTGTGTGTTTTCTCTGTACTTTCCTACCACGCATCTAACCAGATGTTTCCCTTTGAATTGATAGCTCTTCTTTCAAAGACAAACTATTTCTTTTGAGATATATTCCCCCATGCAGCACTACAGAAATACACTCCCCAACTCTGTGACAGAGCATACAGATGAGAATAATGGGCCCTGCCAATGAAATGTAAAAACCATCATCTCATCAGATCCATCTCTAATTACAAAGATTTCTCCCAAGAACCTAATCTTTCTTCGAGAACTATCATCTGCTCTTGTACTTTCAATAAATCTCCAATGCAGCTTTCGCTGCGTGTAATTATGCGACTTCTTGAAGTGTTGGGAACAGAATCCAGATGAATGACGACTCCTCAAGCCTAATGCTAAGAGAGCCATGTGCGCAGAGGATTCCCTGGTGTCACTGCCATGACAACCCACTCCACGCGTGCTGAAAGCCAGCTTTTGGAGAGGAGCACTTTGCAGTCCCACCGGCTGCTGCACTGAGAAGGAGAATCCCAATGCCTGTGGAGTTCCAAGTCTTTTTGTTGGTTTGTTTGCTTGTTTTCAAAATGGCCTTAGACTGACATAATGACACATGCCCCGAGACTGACTGCATTAAACTTTTTGCTCCCCTCTGGAAATGATGAGACTGAAAGAAAAAACATATTTAGTGTAAAACAAATGAACACAAAACAGAGCCAGGTTTTGTTTGCAATCAAGGATGCACAGGCTCGCCCTAACCGGTTTGGCTCAGTGGATAGAGCGTAGGCCTGCGGACTCAAGGGTCCCAGGTTTGATTCTGGTCAAAGGCATGTACCTTAGTTGTGGGCACTTACCCAGTAGGGAGTGTGCAAGAGGCAGCTGATCGATGTTTCTCTCATCGATGTTTCTAACTCTCTATCCTTCTCCCTTCCTCTCTGTAAAAAAAAAAAAAAAAAAAAAAAAAAAAAAAAAAATCAATAAAATATATATTTTTTAAAAAAGGAAGCACAGGGCTCATTATTACAGATGGTGAACAGTGTGTCTAAGAAGAGATTGCACAGTTCCTTAGTAAGACTGTGGAAGTTGTGCTAAGTGAGAATGTAAAGGACTATACAGGGAACTGAGAGTGAGCATTCTTTGAAAGAGGGACACTATCTGAGCATTTAGCTAATTTTAGAAATTATAACCTAATGATTTATAGGAATTAATTTAAAAAGTTAAATTCTATAAGTTAGGAAATAATATTAAAATAAAACCTAGCCTAACAGTTCTCTTATTTCAAAGGTTAAATAAATCAATCCATGCATACTGAAATAAATGTAAAAATCTCTTCCATTCAAGATAATGTGCTGCAAATGTATATAGTAGTTATATTTGGTGTTAGGGATGGTAGAGGAAATAAAGCTTTTACTTTATAATTTGATCATTACTTTCCTCTAATATTTTTAACATATTAATTTTTAATGTATTACACATTTGCAGGTCAGTTCGATTACGATTTATCTGTGTCTGCAACTTAAACTTTTTTATATAAAAATTATAATTACATGTGTGTGCTATGTGACTTTAGGTCAATAGCTAATCCAGATGAACTTTAATTTATTCTTCATTCTCTCTCATTGAACAGCCAGTTTTATACCAGAAAATCTTGTAAGTACTTTGCAAAATACTTAACACTCAATCAATCTTAGCTATTATTAGCTGACAGTGGTTGTTTAATGTGCACTTTTAATTTTTTTTTAAAATGGATACATATATACATTCCTCAATGAATCCAAAACAGGAGAACTATATCCAAAGATTAAACAATATTTTGCAAAAGAATATGCATTTATGCTTTTATGCTTTTATGTATTAAAATAGGGTAACTATCCCTATTATATATTCACACTAACACAATTAGGAATGTGTATTATGTTACATTTTATATATTTATTTTGAAGACTGAAAATAGGCCATATATGCATGTACAATAGGATATGGGAAAGAGTATATAGAATTGAAAATATTCTACATACTCTTTCTCAAAAAGCTTGCGTTAACTAGTATAAGTCAAATAGACTGAGGTTTCTTATTTGCACAGTTGGGAACATACTAGTAAGTTAAATCATCCATTTGATAATAAATAATTATTGTGTCCTCTCTTATCTTAAGAAATAATATTTCATTTCATTTTGTGCTTTGTAATGATTTACCTATGTCAGATCCCCTGTTAGAAAATATGCCCAAATATAAGATAATTTTACTTCTTAAAGAAATAGGTTTTCTAAGTAGATTAATTTTCTATATGTAATAATATGTTATTAAAAGTAATGATTATTTTAAGTACAGTAACATTATTTGAATATTTATTTATATAAGTTTGGTTAACAATTTTATATATGTAAGAAACAACCATGTAAAGATACATACCAAATGTTATTACTACTGATTAATTGGAAGATTTAACAGTATTAAAGTTTCAATTTTTTTTTTTGTGTGTGTGTGTGTGGAATGATTGGAATCAACAGGAGGAATAAGCTTTAGGGCATATGACTTAGGGTGGTTTATTTTTTTTATTATTTTTCTTTATTGATTAAGGCATTACATGTGTGCCCTCACCCCCCTGGTGTCAGTGTCTATTAGTTATATATATGCATATAAGTCCTTTGATTGATCTCTCCCCCTTATCCCTACCCTCCCCTACCTTCCCTCTGAGGTTTGATGGTCTGATCGATGCTTCTCTGTCTCTGAATCTGTTTTTGTTCATCAGTTTATGTTGTTCATATTATTAGCTGACATTGGTTGTTTAATGTGCATTTTTATGCACAGTTTGGTGGAAGTTTTGAAGACTTGATGCATATGTCTAGTGAGTCACCATTTTCAGAGAGGAGTTATGAGTCATGTATAATGACATGCTTTAGTTCATTTCAGCATCATAATGCCACATGCTGGTCAAGGGTAACAATTTTACAAGAGATCAGATAAATTCATTCAAATATGAGTAGAAGAGTCGAGTTTTCTCCTTAAAGTAGGGAGGGAATGTATGTGACATATTTATAATAGTCTTATATAAGCACTGACATTCATAAATAAGCATTTATATTGGAATTAGCATTGATTTCTTTAATAACAAATTAATAGAAAGAAATATAAGTTAAAATATGAATGCATATAGTACTGCACTTAGGTAATTTGAGTTGTATAGTAGGGGAAAGCTGAGATACAGTTATGAACATGTATTGTTTTTTGAAAATGAGGAACATTGAGAGAAATTAATATATATATTATATATTTTATATATATATGTGTGTGTGTGTGTGTGTGTGTGTGTTTTATCTAGAGAAAAGCAATAGGAAATTTTTCAATTCAAATATATCTCAACATGCTTCAAGACTCTGTGGATACATTTAATGTGAAGGTAAGGATGTGAACCATGTTCAGCACACATTTTATTTGTAGAACTTTTCTTTATCTGATTGGGTAAATCAGTAGTAATTATATAGGCTACTGCTATTTGCTGGAGTTGTCATAGAACTGGATTATAACAAAGTTCGTGTGTTCCAAGCCTTGTGGTTGAAATCTCGGTAGCTATGTGGGAGATAAGAGATCAACCGAAGGACTTGTATGCATGCATATAAGCATAATCAATGGATGAAAAACTCTGGGGGAGGGAGGGCATGTACGGGAGTAGGGGGGGAGGATTAGTAAGGTATGTACACATATAATACCTTAATAAAAAAATGAGGGGGAAAAAAACCTCAGTGGCTGTCAACAGATGCATGCTGTGCTGTTTCAGATGCTATGAAGGAGCCTGTGGCTTGCATTTTATCACAATCAGTGATAAATGTGGAATAGGATCATTCAATTATCTTATTTTTGTTTTTGCTGGAAAGGAACTCTATTCAAATGACTTTAATGTGCATAGTTACATATGTCTCTATGTATACATATACATACCCTGTTTCCCCCAAAATAAGACAGTGTCTTATATTAATTTTTGCTCCCAAAGATGCGCTCGGTCTTATTTTCAGGGGATGTCTTATTTTTCCATGAAGAAGAATATGGTACACATTTATTATTAAATGAAAATAAAGGAAATTTATTATCTGCATACAATATGGTAGTACAGTAGTTGTCAACACAAACCAGACAAACTGTGAATCCTACAGTATCAAGAATTTACTCATTTATTCAATGACAATCATGTCATCATCTTCTGGAACATCATCATAACAATCCAATTCCTGAATTTCCTGGTGAATTTCTTGTGGCTCCCTTTCTTTCAGAATCAGTGGACCAAATATCTCATGTTTAGCCTGGGGGTGGGGGGCTTATTTTCGGGGGATGACTTAAATTTCACTCAGAAGGAAACCTGTAAGTAGGTGTTATTTTCAGAGGATGGCTTATTTTCAGGGAAACACGGTAGTAGTGTATATTAGCTTAGGTCTAAATATTAGGAACATGTAGAAGTCCCAGTGGGGGGAAAAGTCATGTGTATCTTCTCTCTCATCCTAGTCCTAGAGCCTGTGAAGGTGAACCCACTGGGGCTGGCTTGGGGGAGAAGCGAGAAAGTTCCAGAAGGAACTGCCTTAGAGATCATAAGTATTTCTATGCATGGAAAAGGAGGGATTGAAATCAATTGGATTTTCTTTCCAATCTAAAGAAACATGGATAATGGAATCCAGCTATGGAGGACATATAATGAGATCCAATTTCTCAGAAAATGGAATTTTCAAATCATTGCTATCCCTCTTACCTGTTCAATTTAGCATACAATCATTTCAGCTTTTCTAAATAAAGTTCTATTTTAAGCTCAAAAACAAAAGCTATTTCATCTCTCCATCCAACTGCCTATGAATGGTATATTTTACAAGTTTACCTCTTAAGTTTATGATATCAAATTATTTGTGAAACTATTTTAGTTTCATTCTTATTTTATAGACTATTTCTATAAAATAAGAGTTTTGAAACCTATCCATATCTAATGAAAATTAATCCCAGGTACTCATTTATTTTGTCATACCCAATAACAATTTTTCACCTTTTCTTAAGAGGACACTAAAGCAAGAAGTTTGTTGTTAATGCAGTGCTTTTGAATCTCATGTTGAAATTACTGATACAGAATGCTCTAAAATATATTATGAAGATTGCTCTTGTAACCTCAATTGTGTAGAGGAGAGCAGTTTTAGGTTTGAGGAATAAGGATTTCTCATGATTTGTGAGAAAGACAAAAGCAGCAATAAAATCCCAGAAGGAAAAGTCGCAGGCGCACAGGGCAGGCACCCTATGGCAGTGCGTGGGGCAGGTGGGAGTGTCCATGGAGAATATTGATGACAAGCGCTCTCTGTCATGGATTGATTTCTAGCATATCAGTCTTTTGAGTCCTGCAGCCAGGAAAGGAAACAGTTCATGTTATAATTGTCACCATGACAAATATAAATGAAAAAGCAGCTCCTTAATAGCTTTTAGAGTGAAATTTTCTTTTTCCTGGTGATGATGAGGTGCACTTTTCTGTAATTTCAGCCCTCCCTGATAGCTGAAGGAAGGAAACAGTCAAACCGCTTGGTGTGGATGGAGATCAGTGAGTCTACCTCACATCCTGCAGTGTTGGAGGACCATCCCAGAGAAAGAGCAGTTTGCTTTCAAAATGCTAATTCTACAGCCCACCTGGAGGGCACAGGATCAAGCACAGGGAGCCAAAGAGTTTGATCCAAAGAAGATCCCTGGGGAGTGTGTCTTGGCAATCCTGGGTGATCCAGGAAAAGAGGTTTTGTCACAAAGATCTAATTTCTAGGAGATCCCTTACTATACAAATAAGGGTACATAGCTCCTGATGGATATTAACACCTAAAGTGTTCATTGTAAGCTTATTAAATGAAGCCAGACATTTCCACTAATAAACAGTTTGTGCCTCACCATGTCATTGTGGATAGTAATGATTCAGAAGAAAAATGGTTTCATTCAATGTCTGGATACATTTTTTTCCTAGTTGCTTTTGTTGTTGTTGTTGTTGTTGTTTTGTTGTTTTTTTAGTCGTTATTACTATTATAGCCAAAACACCAAAACATGTACATTGTTAAGTTCAATTGTTCATAAAATTCAAACTTGAAGCATACACAGACAGATACCATCGCTTCCCTTGCACTAACACACAATTAGCGAGTAAGTAGGAAAGTAGGAGAGGGTCCACATCTCATCCCAGCCATATTGCCTTCCCCTTGGCCAAAAAGCTATGAGATTACACCCCAGTAACGCTACAACTTACTGACTTAATCTTGACGAAGATGGTGAGCAGAGCAGAGGTGTGTTACCCCAATGGAAATGACTCAGCTTTTAGTAACTGAGGAGGGCCCAGCCCCAGCCCTGGCCTATGTGCCTCAGCCCATGAACTAAGAGGTCCCTGGTTCGATTCCCAGTCAGGATGCATGCCTTGGTTGTGGGTTTGATCCCCACGGCATGCAAGAGACAACCAATTGATGTTTCTCTCTCATTGATATTTCTATCTCTCTACCCCTGTCCCTTCCTCACTGTTTAAAAATCATTTAAAAAATAATATTTAACAAAAGAAAGAAAACTGCAGTGGGAAAGAGGTGACTGATTCACAAATCTACTCATTAAATCTTGACTTATTACTACTTTATTTGAGTTAAGTAAAATACCTAAACTTCAACCAACTCAACTCTAAATTGGAGGAATAATGAGTCTGCTAAGTCTTACCTTATTGGGTTGTGAGAAACAACTGGGAATATACAAAATAAATAACTAATATAGAGTGTGTTCTTGAGAATTAGGGGAATTCTTATTGTGGTTGTGGTTGATTTTAATTTGTTATTGCTGGGAAAACTGTAAATCCCAAATTTGTTCTCGTCTAGGTGAGTGAAAAAATTCTCAGAAAACCTGATTTTCACTTTCTTCTTAAAGAATCTTAATGCAAATGAGATTTTAACTTTAAAAATATGTAAACATGTTTCTTTTCATTATTGTTATACTGAATGAGCTAATGTAGTTAACCAAATCCAATATTGTGATCCTAAAGTCCAACCTCACTTCATTGATTCCTTCATTCACTTATTCAAAAAAAATGGTTCTGAACACCTGCTCATATTGATCTATGTACATTGATCTTATAGATATCACACTCCTGATAGGAGAAACGGATATTAGAAGTGAATAAATGTATAAATAAAATAATGCCAACTAATTTTAAATGTGAAGTCCTGTAAAGAAAATAGCTTAAGGTGATATCATGTTGGAGTGGGCATATCCTTATCGAGAGAAGATGCCACCTGAGGTGAGAATATCTTTCTAAACATGGGGATCAGTGAGTACACAACCTCCGGACAATGTGGTTTGGTCCTCTGCAGGGCAGATGCATATGTGTGATCTTGGCACTAACAGAGAACACTGGTTCACAACCTCTAGAACGTTAAACGACACGACTCTTTACAGAACAAGTTAGCAAACTCCTAATCTAGAAACACATTCCTACTGGGAAGATGTACGAGCCATGTAGTTATCAAGTAGAATCATTTATCTGATTGTGGCCTGAGGTTTAGAATTTTCGGCAAACCCCTTTCTTTGTTTCCCCCATTCCGCATGACATTCGGTGGGATTATTCCACCAGGTCCGTTCAGCTAGTGACAGGGTTGATTCGTCAATTTCAAGAAAAGTCTTCATACATGTGCTGGATGCCTCTGGGTCTCTCCCAAAGGACCCTCCCCTCCTCTTCTCTTCTCCATCTTCTCACTGTCTCCCCTCTCCTCTCCTCGATCTTCTCTTCACCACTCGCCCTCCTCACCCCCACATGGCTATGTTGACCTTGTTCCACACAGCCTGGCAGTCTTAGGGTATTCACACTCCTTTGGTACCAGCTATGTTGCTGAGGGGCCCTTGCAAGATGCAACATTGGAAGCTTCCGCTATTTTAAGTCCTGGACTGAGTTTTTGCAAAGGATTACTCCTATTACTTTCTGTTGGTACAGACAGATCACAGAACCAGCCTAGATCCAAAGGAAGGGGGAAAAGACTTCTTTATATGGGAGTGACAACATCACACTGAGATGCACCATCCATGATAATAAATGTCCTGGAATCTTGAGAATCCCAACCCACTGGAAATGCACTTAGGGACACAACCTATGTAACGCTGGCTGGGCTTCACCTGACCACAGACTGGCCACGAGGCGTGTGCAGAGTGAGCCAGTCTGAGAAACGCGCTGGGAAGCCCTGACCAGATTCTAGAAACACACAGAGCAGTCAGGCTTCTGTTCATGATCACAGTAAGACGTTGTAATACATTTATTTTCTTTTGGATTATATATTTATGTCTAGAGAACCCATTAGAAAGGAGTGTGTAAATAAACATTCAAGATTGCATTTCTGAAATTCACCTTTCCCAAATGAAATGCTATTGGAAAGGTGTCTTTACTTTTTCATAATTACAAGTCTGGATATGGATTCATGATAACCACCCTTTTCCTCTTATAAAATTGTGCCTGTTCTTCCCTATCATTTGACTTATGCTTATCAGATGATATAAATTCTGACTGAAATAGACTCTTTTCTGTACAAAAAAAGAGGTCTATAATTACAAAACTCTAAGTCACAATCTCCCTAATAATCTTAAAGATCTCAATATTTGACATATTATATCCCATGAAAAAAAGGATTTTCTCTCATTATAACATGAAACAATATAGTTTATCCTGAAAGTTCTAAATTAGTTTCCCCCCCCCCTGTAATTCTATGTTACATTATACGTTAAGAATGATCCACTGTTTTGTGGACTTTTGTGAGATATTTTTTAAAAAGGTGATCCATCAGTAAATTATAAAAAGAAATAATATTTAAAAGTATATAATTAAAATTGTACTTGTTACCTAAAGCATTTTATTTTTAGTCTCCCCAAAATTTTTTATTTGTTAATGAGTTTCCAGCGTTTAGTTATAGGAATTTTATTTTCTGAGATCAGAAAGAGAGTTTTTGATGCTGGAGAATGGCCAACTTTGACCCACATCCTGACAGTATTACATTTAATTAGGGAACCACAAAAACAAATGCATTGATAAGACTACATGTAGAGGGCTCTAATTTCACTGATAAGATAGACGGGTAGAATAATGGCTCCCCAGCATTGTAAATGTCCTAACTCCAGGAACCTCTGAGTGTGTGATGGTGCATGGCAAGGAGGGACTAAGGTGGCAAATGAAACACATTTACTAATAATTTAACCATAAGAGATGGACCTTGCCTGGATTGTCTCAGTGAGCCCAGTGAAATCACTAACCATCTTTAAATACGGGAGGCGGAGGAGGAGGGAGAGCTGGGTGTGGAGTAAGACATCCCGGGAAGATAAAAAGGAGCCACAGGCAAAGACTGAGAGCTGCCGCTGGCAGCTCGAAAGGCGAGGACACAGCTCCATCCCCGAGCCTTCAGATGAAACACAACTCTGCCCACACCTTCATGTGGACCCAGGAACATCCATTGGGCGCTGCTGACCGCCTACATGTGAGACAATCGGGGAGTGACATGATAAGCACTGAGTGGTGTCTGTTGCAGCAGCCATAGGAAGGTGGTACCCAGGCTGGACTCACCCAGA